AATGCTTTGTCCTTGCATGAGCTTAGACATAGCTGGAGCTTATAGACTTTTGACAGACAACAATAAATATGACTGACACACACAGAGCGCTTCGCTGAATGACAGAAAGCTGACGCTGGCTCCGCCGCACGTGCTTTTATAGCTTCCCGTTCATGACGTCATCCGCCGTGACGTACCGCTCAGCTATTGGACTGATTTCACATGTGATTCAGAGCGTGGGTCACTGAAGGCGTTCCCCTAGTGTTCTCGACGCAGCTCGAGTTCCTGAAGAGGAACGAAGTGTTTGAGAGAGGCGGGGGATAGAGGAGCTACAATAATGTACAGTATTTGAAAAATAATGTGTTTTTTGAACATTAAAGCATGTCAACATATTCTGTTACACCAAATACACAAAATAATGATCTTTAAAAAAGGATCATATGACCCCTTTAATAAAAGTTCTTGGCCTTATTGTGCAGGATTCATCTGCACACATTTTTCTAAGCAAAAAAAGTTTTCAAATGGCATTAATTATTTAATGTTCATGGCATTAATAGAAGCAAAATACTTTAACATTAGGGGTTCATTTATACAATTAGCAAACATCATTAATAATGTTACAGCCCACTTTGCACAATCTAATCAAATCCCACTAGATATAATGAAGACCCACCCTGCATTAATATAAACAGAATTCTCTTTGTTTCAATTTAAAAGGTGCATTTAAAAATGAGTTAAATATATATATTCTTTCATCGTTACATTTAACTAATATTTTAAACATGAATTAAATAGTTTTTAAATGTCTTTATTTGGCAATTAGATTTTTTTCATTTTACTGGTACATTTAGCTTTATTTTTAAACGAAATAAAAACAATATTGTTCAAAAGTCTGAAGTCAGCAGAGATTTTTTTATATTTTTGAAAGAAGTCTCTTATGCTCACCAAGGCTGCATTTATTTGATCAAAAATACAGTAAAAACAGTAATATCGTGAAATATTACTACAATGTAACATACCTGTTTTCTTCTTTAATATATTTTAAAATGTAATTTATTCCTGTGATGCAAAGCTGAATTTTCAGCAGCCGTTCAGTCTTCAGAATCACAAGATCCTTCAGAATCATTCTAATATTCTGATTTGGTCCTGAAGAAACATTTGTTATTATTAATGTTGTGCTGCTTCATATTTTTGTGGAAAACATTTTTTTTGTTGTTGTAATTTTGTAACAACACTAAATTATTTACTATTCACTTTTGATCAATTTAATGCTTCCTTGCTACATAAAAGTATTTATTTTATATAAAAATTATTTTAATTTAATTTTACATATATATAAAATATTATATTTATAAAAAAAAAACTAATAAAAAAAAAAAACTTACTGACCCCAAACTTTTGAACATTAGTGTAGTTTTAAATATTTCTATTTATTTATCAGTTAATTTTGATTCATTTTGAGCTAAGAATCACAAGTGTAGTGTAAGTCATTCTACTTCTCCACTTTCCATCCCGGCTGTTTGCTTTGGCAGTTCAAGACACCTTTGCCTTGAAATTTATAACCTTTGGTGCAATCTTTCATTGCATTTCAGGATGACTTTCCATTGTTTGTCCTGCAATAGTCTGCTGAGCAGAGGCACGAAGACCTGGGAGGACTGGCTCTTTGTGCCGTCCATGAAGGAAGGGAGTGATGACTCACATATCTCTATTCAGATCCGCGGCTGGATATTAGACGGCAGCGTGTGAAGAATGTTTGGAGGTTGACTCATATCATGCAGGCAGGGTGGGGAGTCGATGTGTGCCGAGCTCAGGTAGTCATGCAGAGCTGAGTTGGCCAAGAGTTTTGATGAACTACTACTGCTCGACTGAATCTGCGGGTGGTTAACAATGGCTCTCTGTTTTACGCTTGTGTTGATGCACTCCCCCTTTGGAGTGCCGTACTGTGGTCATAATGAAGGACCAAGTGTGTGTCATGAGGGTGTGTGTGTGCACTTACAGTGCGTCTGGGCAGAACTCTGGCTGTAACAGTCTTCGTCCTTGCAGGAGGAAGATAGTAATGTCGAAGGAGTTCACATCGGAGTAAGGCGGGGCGCCCCGGGTCATGAGTTCCCACAGCAACACGCCGAACGACCACTGCGTGAAGACATTATGAGGAGTTATGAGGAGGGCAAGTGAGCACCTATCAAAACAAGTGAACTTTGGGTGGCTCCAACACTGTCATTTGATGGAGGCCAACAAAAAGGGAAACAAAGCACAGGAAAGCTGAACTCATAAATCCACTTAAGGGAACAGTTAGGTCAGTATTTGGGAAATTTTGAGAAATTATTTTCCCCTGAAGTGGCCACGAGTAGTCATCTATTTTATTTGAAACGCAGGTAGGTTAGAAAACAGGACGTGACACACCTTGAGCCCTGACTTGTGTGTGCATGCATGAGTCAGTGTGATAGAGAAACATTTCTGCACAAATCTTATCAAAGTGACCCAGAGACCACAAGTTGTTTAAAGACTGGATAGCTTTTGAAATATTGCCATCAGAAGAACTGGACCAAACTAAAATGTCAAAGTAAAACTTCATTGTACTGCAGTAAGCTACCTACATAGTCAGCATTTTGGGGGATCATAGATGCACTGTGATTTGATTTAGAACAGATTTAGAACAGATTTTTGGGAACAGAGGTCTTACGGGTTTGGAATGACATGAGGGTGAGTAATTAATGAGAGACGTTTCATTTTTGGGTGAACTATCCCTTTAAGAATGCCACTACAAACTGAGATTGTGATTGAGATACTCACCACATCAGATTTGGTGGTGAATTTATGTGTCTGCAGACTTTCTAATGCCATCCATTTGACGGGCAGCTTGACCCCGTGCTTGTTGTGCACGCTGTAGTATTCTTTATCATACACGTCTCTGGCCAGGCCAAAATCAGCCACCTTTACTGTGTAGCTCTCATCCAACCTGAAAGATACAAAATACAAATATTTGATCTAAGTCATTCATTTAAGAATATAAACACCCTAATGCAAGTCACATGCCCCTTAAAACATTTAATTTAGGGCACGAGTGCTCCTAAACAAAGAAGTAAGTGCCCTAAACATGCTGTACGATACTTCAAAACACTGTTGGTAATTTGTTGAAAAACTCACATGCAGTTTCTGGCCGCAAGGTCTCTGTGTACAAACTTCTTGCTGGCGAGATATTCCATTCCTTTAGCCACCTGCAGCCCAAAACCCATCAGGTCCTTCACTGTGGGGTTCTGTGGGAACGAAAACAAGCACTCCATTTAAAAACAATAACGATAAAAACAACACAAGGCACTGCCACCTGTTTAATTACATTTTTATCATCTTTATTATGTTTTTATTAGCTATGGAGCTATAGTCACTGAAGTTGAATGGAAAGACATTAAGTGCCAGATTTACTTAACAGGTCAAATTAGCACCAGAGCACAATTCCAAAACAATTCCGATGGGCGCAGAAATCTCTGCGGGGGATTTATTGACAATATGCAAATGAAAAAACACAGACGCAACAACTCATTTACATATCGACCAACGCAATATACCAAGTACAGCGCAAACTAGCATATTCAATAAGGTCAGGGGCAAAAATAACTGTGTCCACGCCTTTTCAGTGCTAATTCTTCACTGTGCATCTTTAGTAAATCCTGACAGTACTATTTTAACGCCTAAAGATGGTTTGTGCTGGTGCAAGCTGTTAGTAAATCTGGCCCTATGATGCTGCCACCACATACGTGAGCTTCATCTCTGATGAAGTTGCGCAGATCTCCGTGCTTCATGTACGGCAACACGACGAGAGGCGAGCCTTCGCTGGGCAGGCAGATTCCCAGCAGAGAGAGTACATTAGGATGGCTGAAATCTTTCATGATGATGCCCTCTTTCAGGAACTGGGACACCTCCTCTATATCGGTGATTCCTGCCACATAAATGCACAATAACAGAAGTTCAAAGATCACCACAATGGTTTTTGGTATCACCCCCAGTTTAGATTTACACATGCAAAATGACTCTTTTAAAATCTATCCTGCTATACGTTTTCTGAGTGAGCAGTAAACCTGCCAAATTGTCAGTGAACCATTCACCACGACTTATAAATTATCCCCAACACTATCAAGTGTTTTATCACACACAGCCTGATATTTCAGCCGGGAGGTTTCGGAGCGGAGACTTAATCAGCTGTGACATGACCGCACCGTTACTAGCTGAGCTCTGAGATTCTGTTGGTCCTGCCATTTTAGCTGCGCCTCCCTTAATCTTGTTGGTGGAGCTTTCACATTTTGAGGAGATTAAACAGATGTTTAACCTTTCACTAAGAGAAAGAGAGGCTTATGGGTACACAAAAAAGAAAAGGTCTGTGTGTACATGTCTTGCAGTAGACTGATCCTGAGCGATGAAGCATCCTACGCTACACTGACTGTTGTCAGAGTAGCTTAGGATCCTCAAAAGATTAACACTGATCTGGGAACAGCCCAACAGTAGTCAATCAATTCTTCATTATTTATTGATTATTTATTCATAAAAATGTTATGATTCTTTGTTGTGATTAATATATGAATGCACCAGGGTTATTATAGTCTACCAAAACCACAGAAACAAAATGAAATAAATTAAATTGAAGTTTTTTAATATATATTTTATTTAAGCTAGTTTTATTTATTTTGCCTTGATGTACTAAAATAACTTGAATCTGAAATTAAATGAATAAAAACTATATAGACATTTTTTAAAAGCCAAAAACTACATCAAATTAAAATGTCAAAAACATACAACAAAATGACAACTTTTACTAAAATTAAAATTAAAATGGAAAACATAAAAATAAAAACTAATGTAAAATATTAATAAAAACTGAAATGCACAAAAAAACTGCCCTTTGTCAAAAAGATTATGTAAAACATGATGCATTGAGAGTAGTTAAACAACAGTTCCTGTTGAAAACTGAGACAGGAAAACAAAGCTTGAGTCATAAATCTAAAAGCTCTCAGTGACATGACATGATTAGAGGCATCTCTAATGCGATATGGCTGCATTCATCATCATCATCTTCATCACAAGGTCCTATTAAAACAGCCTCAACAGTCATATGTCATATTTCAGTAAAGAGATGTCAAACTGTGTTCAGAATGGATTCATAACTTTGTGTAGACTAGAGGGGATCCTAAATGCATTTGAACATTTTCTGTAGGATTTAATAGTTTCAATGACTTTTAGGCAGATAGGGCCACTAAATACCACGTTATAGCAGTTTTACCATTTTTATGGGGTGTTAGGCACCACGAATGCCTAAAACCCTCATGAACATGATTGAATGTGGTTCATCCAGTCAGATTTTAGAGCTTCGGCTCTCTATGCTTGCAACTGTACCACCTCAACACTCATGTTGTCAAACTCACGGTTTAAGGACTTGACGGCACAGTGCTGCTTCTGGCCATCTGGTTCGAGCAGGGTTCCATGGAACACGCAGCCAAAGTGCCCTGGTGTACACAAAGACAGGAAAAGATGCAGAGATTATTAGCACATCAATCTATCAAAGTGCTTTATGCCAGAGCGGAGTGTGGGCATAGCAGTTGCACATCACATCAAGTCCAAAAGCAAAAACAATGTAGTGTGAATATATTGTGCTGGGACTACAATTTATATGTTGCTCTCAAACTTTCTCCCTCTGAGTCTCCCTGTCTCACACAGTAGTATACTTTTTTAATTACAGGAAGTGACATATGTATGAGGTTCATTTAAGTTCAATTCAGTACCATTTTCCACTGTAAATTTGCTTTTTTGTAAATGTCGCAAGCCAGACTCAAACTTGCATTGCTGGTTATACACTACTGTCAATTTAATAACATGTGAACAGTAAAGACATTTATAATATATTTCTATTTAAAATAAATGTTGTTTGTTTTTTCTTTCCATTCATCAAAATAATCCTGAAAAATATTCATGATTTTGATCAGCAAATCAGCATACTAAAATGATTTCTGAAGTGTAAAATGTAATATTGTATTCACTATATTGTAACTTTTTGATCAAATAAATGCAGCCTTGGTGAGCATAAGAGACTTCTTTCAAAAAGTTTCTTTTGAAACTATGGAAACTGCTACTGTATAGTTTGAAAATTAAAAAATGTGAAATCTAATTCTTCTTTCCAATCCCCAAGATTTGAGATACAGTGTAATTCATGTCTGTCGCACAAATAATGTGCAACGAGTTGCATGGCAAAGTTTAATAATTAGTGCTTTATTGAAATCTGACCCTATGTATAAGCTACAATAATAGTGAGACTGTGCAAAACAGACCCATAAAAAATAATTGTGAGAATACAGTGAAATACGAACTCAAACAAGGCGTCTGGAGTGCAGCGTGGTGTGTAACTAAAAGATTAACCAATTACAAGTGTCTGGGCAGGGTATTCTCTCTAATGAGGGCATGGAGAAAGGAGAAAAGAGGGCACGAGAGAGTTGGGGTGTTGTGTTGAAATAATAGAGCGTGGAGTGCTGTAATCTCTCTCCAGCTCTGCTATCACGTCTTCCCAGATGGCAGTAGAGTCAGATTACCGGCACGGAGCCCTTAGATGGCCCAACAATGAGCCTGGAATTTAACACGGGAACAAATCATCACACATGCCACCCCGAGCACCCTAACATACTCACATACACGCACAGCCTCTTCCTCTTGCTCTATAAATCGCATTGTGTCACATGCACAAACACAGGCATACACACACACACACAGGACTTGGTTTTCCCACAGGGGTGGTGGGTTTTAGGAGTACTGTGCAGGGGTTTGGGGAGGACTGGAGACAGTGAATCTGATACACACGTTCACACCCCCACTTCTGTAGTACAATGAGAAGACGGGCAATTTAATGTTCAAATGTCCAACCTGCCGGGCTGATTGTCACCGTTTAACCTGTTAACTTTAACCACGTCTGAAACTGATTCCCTCTGCTAAATCCCTCATTTGAGATATTGGATTTCTTGTAATGCAGTTTTTTGGCAAGTCATTGTTGCCAAATATGTTTGCAAGTTACAGTAACAGTACAAAGAGACTAGATTTTTGGATCAATGACAAATAAAAGTGTCCAAGATAAAGGAAAAATCTGGTTTAAATAGTGTGTTTTTTAACTGAGACTCACTAATGACACAGAGACAGCTGACCTCTCTATAATATCTTGTCTTACGTTATTTTTTTCTTAATGGTGGTTGCACCACATTACTTTTTTTGGCAGAAAAATTTGTTAAAAACTAGGGATGCCCCCTAATAGTCAACTAATCGTTAGTCAACCAGAAGAGGCTTGGTCGACCAAAATTTTATTAGTTGCAAAAAAAAAAATCCACAGGTGAAGTCATGCAGTCCGTGACGGACAGATCGTTAACGGCTAGTCTATAGTAATACAGTACATCGGGCAGGACATCCAAACGCTCGACAATCATTCATCGACCTCAAATATGGCTTATCATCTGAAATATGTAAGTATTAGCAACTTTACATGGCCGCTTCATCTAATGTTAACCTAGAAAAATGTGCGCTACTGAAGTGTGGAAGCTGAATAGTAGCACTCACTGCAGGACAGATGGAGGCGCCGGTGTGCTCGCTTGCTCTTAAAATACTCCGAAATTTTGGTCATACAGATAAAAGAAATACATCTTTCAAATTTGTTAAGACTCTACGTTTATTTGTGTGGACTCACAATAACAACAAAACGCGCTTTTGTAAAATAATGAAAGCAAACAGGATGAGCTTTCTGTCATCTCAGTCTGTGAACTTGAGCGCGAAACTCCATGTATACTGTATATTTGCCTTACAGACATTAAAAATATATCTATAGAAATGCCTACTTTCAAATGAACCAATTCAAATGGAAAACAAATATTCTCAGATTATGTAATCCATATGAAACATGCACACAGGCGCATCCACTACTGCGGAGATGACGAGTCAATGTCGCCGACTTCATCTCTTAAACCGAAAACAAAGAAAGAACTTGTTTATCAGGGAATTATTAAAATGTTAATGCAGTCTCCTTACTGTTTTTCCCTGACACATTCATAATAATCATTACTTCTGCCGGTGAGCTTTGGAAAGCTTTATGCATTCGCTTGAGCGCTTATTAGGCTATGCAGGCAATTAAAGGCTCATTACAATGATTTAAATGGTTTATTAATTAGTGCGATTAGTCGACTAATGCTTAAAATGAACGACTACTAGTCGACCAGAAAAATCCTTGGTCGAGGGCAGCCCTATTAAAAACATTATATATATATATATATATATATATATATATATTAATAACTTCTAATTTAAGTGAACTTTAAACAATCTTCACATAAACCCATTATAATAAATGTCATATTTACCTGTGCCCTTCAGCAGAAATATACAGAAATTGAAATTGAAGTTACTAAACACTAAATTTTAAATTAAAAATAGATTATTTCTTAAAGCTATAAAAGTAATTTTTTCCTCTTTTTTTCTTTGTCCTTTGATAAATAGACATCACAGCAGCTGGTTATTTGGTTGTTTTGGCTGTTATTTAATATAAGGGCTGCCACTGCTGATCGTGACGTGGATCTGACACGCATCATATTTTCTCTCAACTCTTTTTACCTTTTCTGATCCACTTCAGGTCTTAAAGTCTCTATTAATGAGCTGACTAGTTAAATCGGGTGTGTTAGATGAGTAAGACAGTGCCGGGCTGCTCCAGGACAGTTTTGAAAACCATTTCAGACATGTTCTTAAATGTGACTCATATAAAATATATAACATGCATGCACAGTTTTAAGGCAGCTTTAATCGCCTTTTTGGTAACTTCATGACTTAACTGACCACGACATTGCATGCACGTAGTTTATTTCGCGCTTTGATATGAAAGGATTACAGGCTACAGCACGCACTGGCGCCTTTGTGCATGCAATTGAAGAGCACGCGCTGCGAGCACAATACCGTTTCCACGCTCGTTTGACTTGCGCCTGGCGCCAGGGTTGCCAGGTTTTCACAAGAAAACCCGCCCAATTGCTACTCAAAACTAGCCCAAAACTAGCACAATCGCGTTTAGAGGGGCTCACCAGTTAAAAATTGCCTTCTGGGGGGTAAAATACACGTATTTGGCGGGGTTCCGCTGCTAAACTTTGCATTCCAGGGGATAAATATTATGGAGTTGCTTCAACCCGCAGACATGTAAAACAACCCGCGGCAACAGTTTTGAAGTAGCCCAATTCCGCAGGAAAACCGCGGACTTGGCAACACTGCCTGGCACTGAAGTGAAGTGGAGCGCGTGTCTGAAATGTCTCCCGTTCTCAGTCGTTCTGCGACTGAATAAATGCACTTCTTGTAAAGAGAAAAAGTGACAGAAGCAGCAGTTGTGAGTGGGGTGGCCAACCCTAGCCCCGCCCCTGCGTTAATTGCATTAAATATTTTTAACGCGTTAAACTGAAAAAATGAATCGCCTGCATTAACGCGCTATTTTTGACACCACTAATATATATATATATATATATATATATATATAATTTTTTTTTGGCTTATTTTTATTTCTATAAAAATTATAACACTATTCCAAGCAACTTAATAAGGTCTTCCTTGTATTAAGAAACCCTTGTTAAAAGAATTTAATTATTTTCATTCTTCTTTTTTCTTCATTTAGATGTCAGTACATTTGTATCACACTGACAATCTTTAATTAGACCCCTACAAAACATGAATTTTTAGATGAATTTTAAATTAACCATAGTATTTATGTGTGAAAGTCATTTTATGTATGATTTTTTAAAATTAATTATTCCAAATAAAGTATGGTAATACTGGTGCTTGCTAAGATACACAAACACCTTTATTTTGTAAAGTACACTGTTTAACAGTTTGGGTTCAGTAAGATTCTCTTTTTAAAATAATAATTAATACTTAATTTAATAATTTATTCAGCAAGGATGCATTTCATTTATCAAAAGTGACAGTAAAGACAGTTATAATGTTACAAATGTTTTTTTATTTCAAATGAATGATGTTCTTTTGACTTTTTTTAGAATCCCCTAAAATGTATCATGGTATTCACAAAAATATGAAGCAGCACAACTATTTTCAAAATTGATAATGATAATAATAATTATATATTATTATTTATATTAATAATATTAATAGCATTAAATATTTTTAACGCGTTAAACTGAAAAAATGAATCGCCTGCATTAACGCGCTATTTTTGACACTTTTAAAAAATATATTAAAACAGAAAACCATTGTTTTGTAATAATATTTTATAATATTTTTGTTTTTATTATATTTTTGATCAAATAAATGCAGCCTTGGTGAGCAAAAGATACTTTTTTCAAAAACATGAAATCTTACCAAATGCAAAACTTTGAACGGTAGTGCATGTCATGACAATGACCAGATTTCTGTGTCCCCTCACCTCTCCCGATGATCTCATTCACATGTAGGAGCAGATCTTCCCGGGCGATGACCACGTGTTGCACTTCCTTCAGCAGCTCTGGATGGAGGCTGCCCAGATCTATAAGTGCATTAGAGGGCAACAGTGGAGATGCCAGGTCCCCTTCTATCGGCCCGAGCATAGGGGACAGATCCACATGGGCATGAGCGTAGAGATGAGGCCGGCAGGACTCGGCCTGAGACAGAGGCAAGTTTTGGTCTGCAAGGCAATAGGGTTGAGAGGTCAAAAGTCAATGACTTGTTCTCTGAGGCCTGGGGTCACCTGAACAAAGCAGGGAAAGTCTGGGAGGCAGAGTCATTACACCAACTACAAAGAGCTGAGGAAATTCTAAACCCGGCTATACAGATGAGAGGGGATTTTTTTCGTCTTTTCAGACAAAAAAAGGAGGCAGAGGCAAAGCAAGAGAGCATGCAATGTCTTCAGAGAGAGAGCGGAGGGTAAGGTCAGAAAGCGTATGTGTTTGGAGAACTGGAAAAAAGCTGCCTGTCAGCAATGATCTAAGACCAGTCTTCCCAATCCAGAAAAAAGGAGTAAAGCTGGTCTGAGATCAGCAGAGAAGGCAAACCTCCACCAGCGGTGTGTTTTGAGCGAGAGGCAGCGAAGCGTGAGAACATACCCTCAAGCAAAGTGGTTCTATAGTCCACCGACTCGTGAGAGACCATTTCATTAGTCGGACTGACACTCCTCGCGTTTGCCAACATGTCCAAGTGCGGAATGTGAGCCCGGCCGTCATACCAAACCATAGCCTTAGCTAAATCTACAACCAGAGAGAGACAGAGGGTGAGAGAGAGACTAAGGACAGGTGAGAGAAAAAAAGGGACAGATCGCTCCACCACAGACTTCAACTCCCACAAACAACCCAGAAACAGCTCTCTTTCTTTATCTCACTCTTTCATTCCATTCAAATTCATTTAAACAACCATCAGCAATTTCAATGCTGGAATCACTACAGTGACCCCTGAACATAAAGCAAGCTATGCTATTACTGCAAAAAAAATAAAATAATAATTTTCTTAATCTGTATTTTTGTTGACAAGTTGTTGTCTACTTCTTTCAGAAAAATACATAAACATCCTTAAAGCAAGATCAATTTAAAACTGCAAACTTGTTCTCAGAGAATAAAAAATATATATATTTTTGTTAGATTTATGCACAAAATGTTGCCAAAATAAATAAATAAATTCTATTTTTTTTTACTTGCATTAAGTCAATTTATATACTTTTATTTTTAGGTTTAGGATTTCTTTCTGGAAAACAAGATTTTTTTTTTGTAGGGCAGACATCCAAAACTGATTTGACTTATAAAGTCTTCCAGTTTGGATTTTATTTCATTTTATTTTTTTTATGTAAATGCTCTTTAGTTATACAAATGATGTGGAACATCTGTGTGCAAAGTGTCGCTTATTTAACTTGAAAAGCCGCCGGAGACATCAAAGACTGCTAATAGTTTATATAAAGCACACATACATTAAAGGCTGCACAAGAAAACGCAAACGCAAAGTCACATACCATCAATATGCTTCTTCCTTTTGATCCAAACAAAGACTGCGATCAGGAGCAGTAGAAGGATGGACACACACACTCCTCCTGTGATCAGTATCCTGTAGTCCTGGTCTTGAGCCAATAACACTCGACCTAGGATCACAGATGATGTGGCCTGCTTCCACTACAATGGATACACAAATTACTTTTGTTATTTTCAGTAAATATCCAAATAGCCAAATAGCATCTAATTTTGCAATTATATAGATTTTTTTATATAATTATTTTGGCAAATATTTTAAATAATACATACATTATACAAAATATAAAATTTTAAGCATCCTCTTTTAGTAAAATTTTTTAGCATCTGTTGGCATAATTGGCAGAAATATTAGAAGAAAATATGATCACAGATAAAGGCAAGCACACATGCAAAACTACAAGCAGGGAATCTCAATGCCATCACATCTGTGGCACATTTGCTTCAGATTTCATACGCGGCGAAGTGTTTACATTTGAACCTCCAACATCACAACAATCCATCTAGAAACATCCTCAGGGAGCGTTTATGATCAGAGAGAGGGCTTCACTGGTCATAAAGCAGCATGGCAAAATGAAACACACACATCCACTGCAGGCAGGAGGGGAAATTGGATCAGAGATAGAGTCTATCTTATGTGGTACAGTATTATTGAGTTTGGACTGAGATGAGTTTTACCACATCGTATTGTGATGGGGTCAGATTAGAGCATCGTGTCACACGCACCCTGTCCGTCTCTCCCTGACAGATAAGCACTTTATGCTGAGGCCAACGTTTCCTTGATCGTTGCTCAAGGATCTTTGCAATCATATCAGACTGTCTGGGGCCAGAATGGGGCACAGAAACATTTTTTAATGCTCGTTGAGCTAATGGTGACCAGAAAGGAAATACAAAGATGGCATCTTATCAGGTGGAGCCTGATATATAAAAATTACAATATGAACACCTTTGAGGAAATTAAACTAATCATCATTTCAAAGAGGAATATGTGTTCAGGAGCTAATCTGGCAACCCAGAGGCCTTTGCTAATGTAGCGTCTGGACCACTCCAACACACAATATATATTTTGT